GAAGAGCTTTGGACACCAGGCAAGGAGATCGGATTCTATCCAGTAGTCAACAGGAGCTGTTAAAGGTTGCTAAGCAGGGGACTGGTGGCAGATGCGCTGATGGCTGATGTTAGGGAGAGACTGGAATTACATTCTGTGGGACCACCAGAAGCTCCAGTATAAATGGGGGTGGGAAGCAGAAAAAGATCTTACAGGTATGGACTCCTGGGGAGTGACTGGGAACCCAGAAATGAGACTTCCCTGCCCTCTGGCAGACTTGGTGGTCTCCTTCTCTGCCCCCTCACAGACTTGGCCACACTTGATCCTAGCACTTTATGCCTGAGTGAAATTAGTGCCATTTGGAGGCCCCAGAGTGCCCATATAATTTGAAGACAGTTTGGTAATAGGATCCTTGCTCTGTGCCAGCCCAGTGCAGGTGCTAGGAATTGGAGATGAAAGTACCCTTTCCTTGTGCTTTGGAAGCCTAGGGAGAAAGAGCACCAGTCTGGAGGCCAAAGAGACCCAGGTGTGCAAACTGGCCTTCATACTTTTGGCTTCCTGACCTGGGCCTCAGTTTTCTCCTCTATACAATGAGGAGGAGCATGGCCTACCTACATATGGCTGTTGGGAGGATTGAGTGAGGCATGCAGAGCACTTGGCATAGACTCTGGCCCAATAAGTGGCATCTTTTATAATGGTTATCATCTGTTTAGTGAATGACTCTCCCATCAGGGCAGGATGAGTGTTTCTCACCTCTGTATCCTGGAGCACCTCATGCCGCAGCCCCTGCCTAGTATGTGTTTGTGGCAGGAACGAACGAAAAATCAAATGCTGGGAGCTCTCAGAAGTAGCTGGCGTTTTAGAGGCATGATGTTTACATCAAATAATGCTCTGTAGCATCAGACTTCTTCTCAGCTCTGCTCTTAGTACTGAGAGGAAGGAACACTCTCTTTTTTTTTTTTTGAGATGGAGTTTTGCTCCTGTTGCCCAGGTTGAAGTGCAGTGGTACAATCTCAGCTCACTGCTACCTCCGCCTCCTGGCTTCAAGCGATTCTTCCACCTCAGCCTCCTGAGTAGCTGGGACTACAGGTGCGTGCTGCCATGCCTGACTAATTTTTTGTATTTTTAGTAGAGACGGGGTTTCATCCTGTTGGCCAGGCTGGTCTCAAACTCCTGGCCTCAGGTGATCCGTCTGCCTTCGCCTCCCAAAGTGCAGAGATTATAGGTGTGAGGCACACGCCCGGCCAAGGCTAACACTCTCTTTTACTTTGATTTGCCTGTGTAATTTTACCTTATTGTTTTAGAGACAGGGTGTTGCTATGTTGCCTAGACTGGACTTGAACTCCTAGCCTCAAGCAATCCTCCTGCCTTGGCCTCTGAAAGTGCTGGGATTACAGGTCTGAGCCACCGTGTCCAGCCTGCTTGTGGAATTTTAAATGAATAGTTAGCTTGCAGGTGAGATTTCCGTAAAAACTGTGGAGTCTACATGTAAGTGTGGAGAACCCTGATGAATCCCAAACTGCCCTCACAGAAACATTTCAAAATAATTCAGACTGTGCACGGTGACTCACGCTGTAATGCCAGCACTTTGAGAGGCCGAGGCAGGAGGATTGCTTTAGCCCAGGGGTTTGAGACCAGCCTGAGCAACACAGTGAGACCCCATCTCTACAAAAAATAAATTAGTTGGCGGTGGTGGCACATACCTATAGTCCTAGCTACTCTAGACTGAGGCAGGAGGATCACTTGAGCCCAGGAGGTTGAGGCTGCAGTGAGCCATGATCATGCCATTGCACTGCAGCCTGGGCAACAAGAGTGAGACCCTATCTCCAAAATAAATAAACAAATAATTCATAGCCAAATCACCTCACTGATTTGTCTTTCAGACTATGTTTAACTAATAGCCCTGAAATTGAGTTCCTTTATTCCTTCCCTTCTTTCATATTATGCACATTTAAGAATAGCCACTGTGGCTGGGCACAGTGGCTCATGCCTATAATCCCAACACTTTGGGAGGCTGAGGCAGTCAGATCACTTGAGGCCAGGAGTTTGAGACCAGCCTGGCCAACATGGCAAAACCCCATCTGTAAAAAATGTAAAAATTAGCTGGGTGTGGTGATGCATACCTGTAATCCCAGCTACTCAGGAGGCTGAGGCAGGAGAATCGCTTGAACCCGGGAGGCGGAGGTTGCAGTGAGCCAAGATTGTGCCACTGCACTCTAGTCTGGGTATTGGAGCAAGGTCTGTCTCAGAAAAAAAAAAAAAAAAAAAATTAGCCACTGTGCCGTTTCATAAATAAATGAAAAGCAGGACTCTGCCCTCAAGTAGAACTGTTTCAAAGAAGAGAGACACATAAACATGTAACAGTTTGAATGCTGTAAGGTAGAGAGAGACTCATTCATTTAAAAAGTGTTTATTGGCTGGGTGTGGTGGCTCACGCTTGTAATCCCAACACTTTGGGAGGCCAAGGTGGGCAGATCACCTGATGTCAAGAGTTCAAGACCAGTCTGGGCAACATGGTGAAACCCTGTCTCTACTCAAAATACAAAACCTAGCTAGGCATTGTGTTGGGCACCTGTTTTCCCAGTTACTTGGGAGACAGAGGCAGGAGAATCGCTTGAGCCCAGGAGGCAGAGGTTGCAGTGAGTCGAGATCATACTGCTGTACTCCAACCTGGCAACCTAGGCAACAGAGTGAGATTCTGTCTCAAAAAAAAAAAAAAAGGAAAGAAAGAAAGAAAAATGTTTATTGAGCTCCTTTTATGAGCAGGGATGGACCAAGTGCATGGAGTGCTCACAGGAGAGAGTGAAGCCAGGCAGGCCTTCAGCTGCACCTGTTTTTCTCTCTTCACTGTCCATCCATCTCCAGACTCATGTCTAGACCTGTTTAATCTAACTCACAACTGGATTTTGCATTTAGATGCTCCACAGGCACTCAGCATACCTCAAACTAAACTCTCTTCTCTTTTCCCTTAAAACTCAACTTCTTCTTGAGCCTTCTGTCTACCCAAAATCCAAGCCAGATCCAAGGGGTTGGATGTCCCTTCTACCCTACTATCCCCCCACACTCCCTCACATCTATTCAGTGTCAGTGTCCTGTTAATTTCCTCCTCTTCAGTATTTCTCTCATTGACCCCTGCCTTCTCATCCTGCCTGAAGCTGCACATCTAAGTCCTCATCTCATCACACCTGGACCATCACAACCTTCTGTTTCCTGCGATTAAAGAACGATATGTTTTGAAACCAGACATGCCAGAGTTAAAACCCTGGTTGCCACCATTTTAGAAGCTGTATGAAACTCTGGGCAAAGCTGTACTATAGTGGTTAGGATTGCAAACAAAGGTGGCAAAACTAGGGGAAAAAGGAAATAATTATCACAAAAGTCAGATTATGGTAACCTAGGGGAAGTGCAGTTATCAGGAAGGGACACAGGTGGCTTCTGGAATACTGGCAAGGTTCTTTTTACTTGACTGAGCAGTAGTTACATAGGTGTTCTTTTATATTTTTAATTAATTTTTTATAATTGAGTTGTAGGTATATATTTTACTTTATCATTTAAAACATTTTAAGGCCAGACATGGCCTTAAATGGCCTGTAATCCCAGCACTTTGGGAGACTGAGATGAGAAGCTTACTTGAGGCCAGGAGTTTGAGACCAGACTGGCAACATAGTGAGACCCTGTCTCTACAAAAAGTAAGAAAAAAAAATTAGCCAGGTATGGTGGCGCACACCTGTAGTCCCAGCTACTCAGGAGACTGAGGCAGGAGGATTGCTTGAGCCCAGGAGGTTAAGGCTGCAGTGAGCTATGATCGTGCCGCTGCTCTCCAGCCTGGGCAACAGAGTGAGACCTCATCTCAGAAAAACAAAACAAAACAAAAATATCTTTTGAAATTCAATGAGACTTTTCTATGTAAAGTATCAACTGGCACTCAGAGCACAGGAACAGATCAGGAAACCTTGGTTACCAGCTCTGATTGTTGTGTCCTTTCTTCCGTATGCCAAGCTATGCTTGGTGGTAAAATACAAAAAGAATAAGACACCATTCTGTGCTCAAGGGGGTCCCATCCTGCTAAACCTTCCTGAAGTCGTAGAGCTCATGAGTAGTAGAACCAGGTTTCCTGAAGCCAAACCCTTTCCTCTAGTAAAGAAAGATTCATTTCACACAAGGGGATTGCCCTTCTAAAACCAATGATAGTAAATGGTTAATGCTCCCTACCAGACAGCAGACCCCTTGGCTGATCCATCTCCATCCCCAGCGCTTGCACAGAGGCTGGCACCTGCAGACTTCGGAGAATGTGAGGAATAGAGGAGACCAGAGAATAACCCCTGTGTTTTCCCTCTCCCAGGCTGGCCAAGGAGCAGGGCCTTGGCCCATGGTCTCATAGAGCCTGGCCTGTTCTGGAAGAGCACCCAGTTTTTCCTTCTAGGCTACCCAAGCCCCATTGATGATGGGTGAGAGGGAGGAGGACGACGACACTGAGGAAGCCTGGCTGCAGCTGCGGCCCATGGAACCCCTGCCCTCCCAGTGCTGTGGCAGTGGCTGCTCACCCTGTGTGTTTGACCTCTATCACCGAGACCTGGCAAGGTGGGAGGCAGCCCGAGCCAGCAAGGACAGGAGCCTGCTGCGTGGGCCAGAGTCACAGGTGAGGGAGGCTGCTTCTCGATATGAGCACCAGGGCGGCAGAATCTACTAGCCTTGGCCCTGCAAAGCACACCTCTAGGAAGCCTTCCCTGACTGTACAGCAGAAGAAAAGAGTACACATAACAGAAGCAAACAGATCCAGGCTCAAAGCCCAGCCCTGAAGCAAACTTATTAGCAGCTGTGTGGTTTGAGGCAAAGTCCCTTAGTCGACCTAAGCCTTAGTTTCCCCATCTGTAAATTGAGGCTAAATGTTTGTGATGTGTAGCACAGAGCTTGACATCCATTTCACTTAACTATGTTTATTGAGTACCTATTATATACCAGGCCCTGTGAGACAGAGAGGATTTGAGAGTGAGCATGACAGACACAGTCCTTGTCCTTATGGACTAAACTAGCCATAGTTTATTCTAGGTAAATAATGGATGTTAGGGCTGATATTTTTTCTTCTCTGGCCCTTACTGACTTTCCTCCTTAACTCCTGCAGGACTTCATAGTCTGAACTAAGCAGATTAGCCCTTTATTGTAATGTTTAGGAGGGTTCACAGTTATAAATGTCAGAACACAGGACTTCATCCCCTGTATTACACAGATAGGGAAACTGAGGACCCATTCCTTCTGGCACTGTGCATAGGTTTTGTTTTGCATCTGTCCCTGTCTTGGTCTCCCGCATCTGAACAGTCTTCCCATTTTCTGTGTCCCTCCTGACTAATGTGAATAGAGGTGTCTCCCATTTCTACCTCTCTCAATGCCATCTGGCATCATCATCACTTTTTTTTTTTCTTTTTTGTAGAGATGGAATCTCGCTATGTTGCCAGGGCTGGTCTCGAATTCTTGGTCTCAAGTGATCTTCCCACGTCAGCCTCCCAAAGTGATGGGATTACAGGCGTGAGCCACCTTGCCTAGCCATCATCACTTTTTGACCAACCATTCCTCATTCTTGGGGCTCAAACTAGACCAAAGCTTAGTCATTTTTACACATGTTGTTCTTAAGCTATTATAGATCAGACATTCTGAACAAATGCAGTTGTTTTTCTTTTCTTTTTTCTTTCTTTCTTTTTTTTTTTTTGAGATGGAGTTTTGCTCTTGTTGCCCAGGCTGGAGTACAGTGGCGTGATCTTGGTTCACTGCAACCTCCGCCTCCCAGGTTCAAGCAATTCTCATGTCTCAGCCTCCCAAGTAGCTGGGACTACAGGCGTGTGCCACCACACCTGACTAATTTTATATTTTTAGTAGAGATGGAGTTTCACGAACATGTTGGCCAGGCTGGTCTCGAATTCCTGACCTTAGGTGATCCACCTGCCTCGGTCTCCCAAACTGCTGGGATTAGAGGCGTGAGCCACCATGCCTGGCCTTGCAGTTGTTTCTCTGAACCCCAAAACAACATGACATTATTATTATTATTATTATTATTATTATTATTATTATTGCAGAGTCTTTCACTCCATCACCCAGGCTGGAGTGCAGTGGCATTATCTCAGCTCACTGAAACCTCTGCCTCCCAAGTTCAAGCAATTCTCCTGCCTCAGCCTCCTGAGTACCTGGGATTACAGGCACCTACCACCATGCCCAGCTAATTTTTTTTTTGCATTTTTAGTAGAGTTGGGGTTTTACCATGTTGGTCTTGAACTCCTGACCTCAACTGATCTGCCTGCCTCAGCCTCTCAAAGTAGTGGGATTACAGGTGTGAGCCACTGTACCTGGCCGTATTTTTGCTTTTTATGAAGATAGAGACGGGGTCTTGCAATATTGCCCAGGCTGGGCTCAAACCCCTGGGCTTACGCGAACCTCCCATCTTGGCCTCCCAAAGTGCTTGCTGGGATTACAGGCATGAATAACTTTATATTTAATGTCTCCTTGTATTTCTGCCACTGGAAGGTGGTGATGGGGACTAGAGTGCTCTGGCTTCTGCCAGTGACTGGGGAATGTTTGTGACAACCTCTGTGTTTTCTTTCTTCTCACTGCCCTCCATCTCCACGTGGCTCACCCCTTCACTTCTTTCTGATCTCTGCCCAAATTTCATTTATCTTCCTAACTCAGGACTACCAGACACCATCTAGATGTATTCTTTTATGTGTATATTGTCCATCTTCTTGCTAAAATATCAGTTCTGGCAGAGAAGGGGCCTCTGTCTTTCTCACTGTTCTATCCTCGGCACCTTGAGTAGTTCCTGGCATTACAGTCGGCACTCATTAAATATTTGTTTTATGAATGAATGTGTTTCTCCCAGATCTACTAAGTACCATATCCTGTGTGCTAGGCACAAGGAGATTGGTAATAAAGATGCCAGGGTACCAGTGCTGAAAAAACTCAGCTTACAGAAGGGGGACAAAGAATCACAGGGTTACTTGGCTGGTCATGGTGGCTTACGCCTGTAATCCCAGCACTTTGGGAGGCCGAGGTGGGTGGATCACCTGAGGTCAGGAGTTCAAGACCAGCCTGGCCAACATGGTGAAACCCCATCTCTACTAAAAGTATAAAACTTAGCTGGATGTGGTGGCACACGTCTGTAATCCCAGCTACCCGAGAGGCTGAGATACGAGAATCACTTGAATCTGGTAGGCAGAGGTTGTAGTGAGCCGAGATCTCACCACTGCACTCCAGCCTAGGCAACAGAGCGAGACTCTGTCTCAAAAAAAAAAAAAAAAAAAAAATTGCAAACAGATGGGAGCAAACAAACACAAACATTTTGTCAGTCCTGTAAAATAGCATATTCCAATTTGTAATTTTGTTTTTTAACTTTTAATGAAGCAATAATAATAGGAAAAGATTTTACATTTCCATGGTAACTTATATTTTATAAAATGCTTTTTATATTGTATCTCATCTGACCCTCATGATAACCCTATAAAGTTATCAGGGATGAGTGGCCCTTTTTATAGACTAGGAAACTGAAACCCAGAGGATCAGTTGATATGCTGAAGACTCCACAGGGAGGCAGTAGCTGAGCTGGGGCTAAACCCAGTTCTCCCAACTCCCAGTCCAGTGTTCCTTCCAAAGCACCAGGCAGCTGTGCCGGAGGGTACCCAGGTGCTCTGGCTGATGATGAAGAGGTCATCCTGGATGAGGGGTGTGGGAAGGGGCACAGTGGAGACAAGGCCTCGAATGCCAAGCCCGAGAATTTGTCGATTCAGTGATATTGTCAGCACTACCATGGGTAACTGGGGTTCCAGAGTTGGTGCTGCAGGAACACATGGTGCTAGGCCCTAAGCTGGGATTGAGGGGTCCCAAGAGTAAATGGAGTATTTTACAGGAGAGAAAGGTCTGTGAGTCACAGCATTCAGAGAAGGCTTCCTGGAGGAGATGCAGGTTGGGGTAGAATGTTAAAGGCAATGGGCTGAGACTTCCACATGAATTTGAATCTTTGTCTACAATGTGACTGTAGACAAGTAAGCCAGCATGACTCAACTCAGGCCTCAGTTTCCACATATGTAACACACAGATATTGGGTTAGATATTCTGAGGTCCCATCAACTTATAAATTATGCAAATCTGGATTTTAGCAGGTTTGAAAAATGGGTATGTCTTTTACACATTGGAGATGAATGTTCTGGATAAGAGGGCACTACTTGAGCTAACAAAGACTCAGAAGTAGGAGACAGCAGGGTGTTCCTGGGAGGATGAAGAAAAGTCTGGCACCAGATGCCTGGGAGATAAAATGGGGTGTGAGGGTCATCCACAGGGCCCTTGAGTGTCCAGGTAAGGAAGGAGCCCGCACTTTACCCTGGAGCTGAGGGGAGCCATGGAATGCTTAAGAGCAGGATAGGCTAAAAGGAAAGCGCTCTGGCATTCTTGGATCTGATTTTCAAAGGGGAGTAAGGTGAGGCTAGTGTCCAGTTTACAGGAAACTTCCCGAGCCAAGACAGCCTCTCCTTGGGGACAGTGGGAAGGATGCTATGGATGCCTGTGTGTCTGTGGAGCCCCGACCTCTAGCTGTTGGATCTCTTCCTGTTGCAGAGCTGCCCCTCCAAGCTGAACCCAGAGACCTTCGTGGCCTTCTGCATCAGTGCCGTGGACAGACTCACTAAGGACACATACCGTGTCCGGTTTGCTCTACCCGGGAACAGTCAGCTTGGCCTGCAGCCTGGCCAGCACCTCATCCTACGGTACACTCAGGTAGTGGGAGGACCAAAGCTTCACAGCCCTGCTTTGCTATTTGCTAGCTGCTGGCCTTGAGCAACTAGCATACTCTCCCTTAAGCCTCCATTTGTCATCTTCAAGATAGATATAGTGACATGACTCAGAGGGTTCTTGGGATTGAACTAGATAATGCATTTTCATAATAAATAATAACAACACAATCACTTTAATAGCACTTACTATCCAAGGCACAGTTCTGTGTGCTTATAGGCGTGAAATAATTTAACCCTCACAAAATCCTGTGTGGTAGGTGCAGTTATTTCCCAGAGGAAATTGAAGTAAGAGAGGTCCAGAAACTTGCCAAGGTCACACAGTTAGGAAATGTTGGAGCCAGGATTTGAAGGCAAGCAGTCTGGCTTTAGAGCTTGTGGTATGAACCTAATATGATTAGTACCAATTGATAGAATTGAGAATAAAGGGCTTGCCCAGCACCACATAGCTAATAAGTCACAGAGCCAGGATTTAAACCCAGACAGTCTGGCTCCTGAGTTACGCTCTTTACCACTCCTCTGAGGTTCCTACTTCCTCCCAGTCTACTTAGGCACTCTACTCCCACCCCAGTCCCCACCCCTGCCTGCCCAGAGACAAGACCCTTTGGAACGTCCGGGTAGAGTTGTTTGTTAGGCTGTTGGCTCTGTGAATCTGAGGCTTAATAGAGAGATCTGAGCTGCAGGCATGGGTTTGGGAGTCATTGGCACATACCTGAGTGGTATTTGGAAACATGTGCATGGAAAGAGAAAGGCGCGTAGGACCAAACCCTGGAAACACCAGCATCTATGGCATTGGCAAGAGGGGGAGGAGCCAGCAAAGGAAACAAGATGCGGCCAGAGGAGAAGGTGGAAGCCAGAAGAGCACTTACTGCTGTTCAGACTCTGGCCACTTGCTTCACAATGGTCCCTGGTATTTGTGTCCAGCTCCTTCTGGCCTGTGGCCTGGCCAGCAGTCCTAGAAGTTCACTATCCCAGTGGGCAGGAGGGGCCACAGGGCAGGTCACAGTCCCAGGCATCCTTCCATCCATGAACCAGAATGCCCAGAATTCCCTGCCTCCAGGCTAGCTCCCCTCCTTCACCCACTCTGTCCCTGCAGTGACATCCCTAACACACATATTTGACCATGTGACTCTGGAGTGCAGCATGGAGGCAATGTGGCACCCCAGAAGGTATCTGAGGTACACATTGCCTCCATGATGATGTCCTAACCCAAGGCCCCAGCTTGCTTTCCCACCATGTTCTTCTCCCTTTGCCATCCCACCCCTGCCCTGGTCTCAGCCTCCTGCTCCACACCCGATTCCCGCCACCCTTCCTGTCCCAATTTGCCCTTGTCAGTGACTGGCCTATCCTGCAGTGCCCACCTCCAGGAGGTTTCCTAGGCTCCCAGAGGAGACTGCACACTCCCTCTGAAATGTATCAGTTTTACCTCTGTTGCAGCAGACGTCATAGTGCTCTGCAGCCAAGCCATGCTCTATGCTCTGTTCCTTATGTCCCCATTTGTTTCATATGCATCTATTAAGTATTTCTGTCCAGCCCCTCATGCTTTTGGTGCATTGAGACAGGGCCTTTTTAATCTTTGCATACCTCAGAGAAGAAAGTTTTGTACGTAGTAGGACTTGAGAGAAGACTGCTTAGGGAAGCTCCTGGGAAACTCTGAGGAACAGTGGTGAGGAACCCATCTCTGAAGTTAGAGCTGTGATTGAATTTCAGCTGTGCAAGTGACTTCACTTCTCTAAGCATTGGATTCCTCATTTGGGTTGTTGTTTGAGTTAAATGAGATAATGCATATGAAATGCTTGATACATGCATCCATTTAATACACCATGGCTATTACTGTGACTCATGGTGGTTATCCTGACCCTGTTTTTGGTAACATAGAGAGGATTCATGCATGAGATAGGGCTTCAGACTAGGGCCCTTTGAGGATCCTTCCAGTCCTAATGCTTCTGTCAGGTGCTAGTAAGTGTTTAATAAATGTTAGCAGTTGTTTTTATCTTTATCACTCTGTGGTCGAGAAGAGGTCAGGAAAAATGACAGTCATGTCTTCAAAACAACTCACATCCTCAGTGTACTTTTTGAAGCACTCTCCCATCCACACAACTGGAATGCAGATAGCTGTCCCCATTTTACAAAAGCGGCCACGGGAGATGAGATGATCTACTGGGATCTCACAGCCAGCACGTGGCAGTGGATGAGCCCAGTACTCTTTTTTTTCTGTTGCATCTTGCCTGCCTCTCAGTGAGGACCTTTATTTTCACCAGCCTGGCAGAGGAGGTAGCTCATAAGGATTTGCAGTTGTTTGTTTGAGACAGAGTCTTGCTCTTTTGCCCAGGCTGGAGTGCAGTAACATATGATCTCGGCTCACTGAAACCTCCGCCTCCCGGGTTCAAGTGATTCATGTGCCTCAGCCTCCCGAGTAGCTAAGACTACAGGTGTGCACAGATGTGCACCACCACACCCAGCTAAATGTTTGTATTTTTAGTAGAGACAGAGTTTCACTATGTTGTCCAGGCTGGTCTCAAACTCCTGACCTCAAATGATCCACCCACCTCGGCCTCCCAAAGTGTGGGGATTACAGATCTGAGCCACCGTGCCCAGCCTTAAAAGGGTTTGTTGAATGACTGGCTGACTGACTGCATGCTTCTCTTTCCCAGAGGGATAGTAGATGACTTAGAAATTCAGAGAGCCTATACGCCCATCAGCCCTGCCAATGCAGAAGGATACTTTGAAGTGTTAATTAAGGTGAGTTGACCTCCGAGGATGCTCTCAGATGCCGTGGACTTGTGCCTCCTCTGCCAAGTTGGTCATGATGGGGCAGTTCCTACCAATGTGGGGAAAGTCAGGGTTCACGGGAAAGGGGGCTGACCTGAGGGAGAAGCAGGGACAGGTGAAGGAGGACTTCTTCCATCTCCTTTCCTGGGGAAGGGACTGCCGCTAGTCCACCAACAAAGGGCTGTTCCAGCATGTTCCTGACAGATTTTACTAAAAGATAACTCCGACTGAGAAGGGGAAGAAGGGAAACTGCTCGCCTCACCTTCCCGCCATCTGTGGAGAGTGAGCACCAAGCTGCACAGGGAAGGGGAGCCAAGGCCCCCTGCACCCACTGTGTGCTGAGCACAGGGGTCCAGAGGTGAGTCAAGCACAGTGCCTACCCTCAAGATACCTGCCCAGGACAAGTGACCAGATCAGGACAATACAGTGTGACAGATTTTGTGCATAAGGAGGCCCAGCCCAGCTCAGCGACTGGGTTGCAGGGGAGGCAGGCCGGGCTTCCTTGGAGAAGCTATGTGTCTAGGGAGTGGAGAGCTAGAGGGAAAATGTGGGAAGGAAACTCAGTGCTGGGAACAACATGGACAAAGGCAATTGGGGAAGTAAGTCCTTTGTTCTGGAACAGAAGGAAGGCATGCCAAGGGAGCAGGATGCAAGCTGAGAGGTTTAGGCAAGAGGTAGGACATGGAGAAGCTTATGGACAGGACTAACCTAACATCACCTCTCAGGGGAGGTGGGCAGGACCAGGGGCATTGGAATTGGACCTTGAATTCCAATTCCAATGCACTGGAATTGGAGTGCAAATTGGCAGTGGCCATAAATGGCATTCTAGGCTGAGGGGATGGTTGACCAAAGGTTGGGAGGGGTGAAATAGAACAAGTCTTCTAGGAACCATACCCAGCCTGAGAACCAGGAGGAGAGGGTGCTGGTGGAGCAGGCGGGGTGGATGGAGGAATTGGCAGAGATGAGATGAACAAAGTAGGGGTGCAAAACACCCTAGAGACCCAAGGAATAGGCAACAAATATATAAGAAGTTGTGGAGGCCCAATTATGTGGAAAGAATAATTAGGTTGAGCTACATGAAATTGCTGATATTCTAACTTTTTTGACTTAAAGAAACATCAGCTTCATGTGGGCCAACCTAATACACAGCTCTAGATCATCATTTCCCAAATGGAATCATTACAATATTTAAGAATAGTGTTCACATCCTTAATCTACCTTATAAGACATGACTTATTATCTGTATTGCATTGATAAGTAAACTGAGTCCCACAGAGGCCCCAAGGCCCCACAGCTAGTAAGAAGTGCTGCTGGTAGGTGAGTCCTGCCCCCTGACACCGAGACCTCAGCACTGCCTCCAGCTCCCGCCTTCCTACCTGCCATCAGAGTGCGAGTATTTATTCCCTCACACATAAGCTTGGATGGGATCCCTTCTTCACACAACTGTTTGTCTGGGAGATTCCACAAATCCTCTCCAAATGGCCTGCTTCCCCAAGCTGCTTCTCGGGGTGTGTTTCTGTGGAAAGGATAAGCCTGGAGACAGTTCTTCAGGGCAGCTGGATCTCTCCCAGCTGCAAGGCTGATTTTCTCCTTCGTTTACTGGAAAGCCTCTCTTTAGAGAGATGCCTAATTATCTCTAAGCCACTGGCTAGGAAGAGCCAAAAATGTCTTTACAAATTGGGAAGGCAGGCAGGGCTTATCGTTTGACCCTCCCATGTAGAAGGGAAGGAGAAGCTCCCATTTCTCAGGCACTTTCTGGGTACCAGATACTGCCCCTGTCTCTTTATTCTAATTATCGCATTTCAACCTCATAACCACCCTATAGAGTAGATCATATTATTCCCATTTTACAGATGAAGAAACTGAAGCTCAGAAAGATGACATCATTTGTCTCAAGGCCCCTTGGGTAATATCATCCAAACGGAAGGACAAAAGTTCAGTGTCAGTTCTGTTTAACAAGTATGTATTAAGCATTTACTCTGTGCCAGGCTCTGTGTGGGTATGTATTAGTCCATTTTCACGCTGCTGATAAAGACTTACCTGAGAATGGGCAATTTATGAAAGAAATGAGTTTAATGGACTCACAGTTCCACATGGCTGGGGAGGCCTCACAATCATGGCCGAAGGTGAAAGGCATATCTTACATGGTGGCAGATGAGAAGAGAGCTTGTACAGGGAAACTCTTCTTTGTAAAAAACATCAGATCTCATGAGACTTATTCACTATCGCAAGAACAGCACGAGAAAGACCTGCCCCCATGATTCAGTTACCTCCCACTGGGTCCCTCCCACAACACATGGGAATTCAAGGTGAGATTTGGATGTTGACACAGCCAAACAATATCAGGGTACTAAAGACAACATGGAAGAATCCTTCCCCTCTTCTTGGGTGCTGTCTATGCCATATGGCCTCTAAGGCCACAGCTGGGATCATGTCTCCCCCTAGACAGGGGCCAGAAAACAAAGCATTCATGGAGACAACCTCCAGCAAGGCAGGAGAAAAAACGCACCTTTCCTTCTAGACCCCTTCCAGTTGAGCCAGGGACTTCCCTTGCATTGTGCACGTGGTGCCCAGGGAAGTCAGGGATGATATCAGAGATGGCCATGGGTGCTTAAAAACAGGTCTGGGGACCAAAGCCATGTCTCTCTGTTAAGCCTGGCTATAATCTTACTCCAAACACCCTTCCAGTCCTGTTTCCCAGTGCTTCACCCTCACCCTCACCCTACCATGTTCCCTTGTTGTTCCCAAAACATGACCCAGATTGTCCTACCCCTGACCATACTACACCTGATGTCCAGAGTCCTCTCTGCACCCCTGCTCACATCCCCAGTGAATTCCATCTTGCCCATCTTTCAAGTTCCAATTCAAATGCTTCCCCCTCCAGGAAGCCATCCTTGATCCCATCCATGGAAGTGACTGCAGCCTTCTCAGGTTTATTCCTAGTTTATTCTTCTCATGGGTATTAGATGGTCTCTACCTTGTATATGTCTGAGACTTAGGTCCCTTCTGGATTGTAAGCTCCTTAAGGGGACAGCCTGAATCTGGATTGATTGATTCATTCATTCAGGTATTTATTAAGTTATTTCCATGGCTCAGGCACTGGCTGCCTTCATGGAGCTTAAGATCTAGGTGTCTTGCCTGCATCCTTAACATGGTACCTGGTACAGAGTGGACAGACACCCAGGCAATATAGACTCCCCTCTCCATGGAGGAATCATTCCTGTAACCTTCATTTTTCATCCAGCCAGGAGATGGTGTAGAATAATGCAGAGACTGCAGATAGGTGGCCTGAATCTAGCCCACAGATGTATTCGGTATTGGCCAGCATAGAGTTTTAAATTTTTGAATTAATTGCAGACATTTCAAAAATGGGAGATTTTAAATAAAAATATGGATTTCCTGCCTCTTTTGGAAAATCAATAGGTCTGGCCAGTTAGGCCCCACAAACTATAGACTGAAACCTGCAAAGTGGCTTCCCTCCTTAGAAGGATTGCTTGCCAACTTATCATAATCCCCATCACTCCCTGTTGTCTCCCTGATGCTGAGACTGTGTGTTAATTGCCATTAATCATCACCCGGTTCTTCACTCATTTATGGTACCTGCATGGTCCCTGTGGGCATTTGGGTTTGGGACCTCTATGTTGAAGGCTTTAGGTCCTATGGATTCTCATCCCAGTCTCCTGTCTACCTTCTGTGTAAGCTTCTGGGCCTCATCTGAAAATTGGGAATGACTGTACCAACTTTGTAGGATGAGGAGGACAATTAAATGAGGTAACACATGTGAAGCACTTAGCATACAGAACAGGCTCCACATTAATAGCTAATCTGGTTTGTGCTGGCAGCATGTACCTATCCCACTGATGTCTCCCTGTGTTTGCTTCCAGTGCTACCAGATGGGGCTGATGTCCCGGTATGTTGAGTCCTGGAGAGCAGGAGACACAGCTTTCTGGCGAGGACCTTTCGGAGATTTCTTCTATAAACCAAACCAGGTCAGTGCCAGAACCTTAAATCCTCAAGAGATCCCTATTGACTGTGGTTTTCATGTTTCAGCCCACAGCATCTCACTGTGCCATTCTCCCTGAGCTCACACACAATCCCAAGTGTATCCTTGGGGTTGGACATGGGAGAAGATGGAATAGACACTTATTTTTTTATTTAGAGATGGAGTTTCACTCTTGTTGCCCAGACTGGAGTGCAATGGCGTGATCTCGGCTCACTACAACCTCCACCTCCCAGGTTCAAGCGATTCTCCTGCCTCAGCCTCCCAAGTAGCTGAGATTACAGGCATGCACCACTATGCCTGGCTAATTTTGTATTTCTAGTAGGTATAGGGTTTCTCCATGTTGGTCAAGCTGGTCATGAACTCCCGACCTCAGGTGATCCACCCACCTCAGCCTCCCAAAGTGCTGGGGTTACAGTCGTGAGCCACCACTTCCAGCCGGAATAGACACTTATAAATGAAACTGCCTGCCCAGCTCCAAAGTTACCCAGGGCACCCATTGCTTAGAACATCAGACTCACGTACTTGGCGTTGAGGAGCCCTTATGCCCTCTGACCCTCAGACACCTTCCAATTTCACAGTGCAGTCACATGACTAAATATGCCCCATGGCTTCCTGCTTCCCAGCTCAGATGGCTCTTCTCATCATCATCCTGGCATTTTTAAACCCTTCCCCGACTTTCCCAGAAAGAATTCGTAATTTCTCATCAGTTGGTGCATATCTGGAAAGCATTATGACAGTGTGTACCAAGAGTCTTCAGAGTCTTCAAATCCTTGGCCCCAGTAATTCCACTATGGAAGTCTGTCCTACAGAATGAATCAAAATGCTGGCTCTTTTGCATATGTTCATTGCATCTTTATTTAAAATAGCAGAAAATTGGAAACAACTGAATATCCAACAGCAGGGGAACAGTTAGGTACACTGGGCTACAGGTACTTGATAGAATAATATCCTGGATTTTAAAATTATGTTTATAAATGATGTTATATACTTATGCTGTAAGATCAAGTGACAAACCCTAGGTACAAAACTGAATATACAGGAGGTTGGGAAATTAAGTTAAAATGCACAGAGAAAATATGAAAAGAAAATGCAATGAAATGTTAGCAGTTCTGGGTAGTGAAATTATGGATGATTTTTATTTTCTTCATTATACTTTCTAAATCATTTGCAGTGAACACCTATTACTTTATAATTAGGAAAACAAAGCAAAATGAAAACAAATGGAAAAGAATGAATCAAGCCTTCCTCTCCATTCTTTTTGTTTAATTTTAAAATAGCTTTTTTGGCTGGGCACAGTGGCTCATGCTTATAATCCCAGCACTTTGGGAGGCCGAGGTGGGTGGATCACCTGAGGTCAGGAGTTTGAGACCAGCCTGGCCAACATGGCAAAATCCTGTCTCTACTAAAAATACAAAACATACTAGCCAGGCATGGTGTCATGCACCTGTAATCCCAGCCACTTGGGAGGCCGAGGCATGAGAATCATTCAAACCCAGGAGGCAGAGGTTGCAATGAGCCGAGATTGTGCCACTGCACTCCAGCCTGGGTGGCAGAAAGAGATTCTGTTTAAAAAAAAAAAAAGATCTTTTATTATTTTTTTCTTTTATAAATGTAGTACATGTTCATTACCCAAAAATCAGCAGACAAAAAAAAAAAAGAAAAAACACTCACAGGCAATCTACCCAGACACACCCATCTTATGGCTTGGTGTATATCCTTCCAAATCCTCTTCCACATGAGTATATGTACAAATGCATACTGCATGTACATGTGTAGTATATATGTATAATAATATCAAGCACGTGCAGCACCTCATGCATGCCAGGCTCGGACCTTAGCACTTGCTATATGGTAACTTACACAGTCTTCACAGCAGCTCTTAGGTGCTACAACCCCATTCTACAGATATGTGCTATGCATATGTTAATACTCTTCCATAGTATTCTCCTAGTACTAACCATGCTTAGCCTTGCATCTTAGACCCTGCATCCCCCAGATGCTTGAGAGCAGGGAATGGAAATCGTTCATGTTTCCTCCTTGTCTTGAGTGGATAACAGTTGAACGTTGTCTTGACCACCTTTTCTGGTAGAGCCTCCCAATGCCTTGTGGCTGCTCCTTCACATGCACAGAATACTTGAAAGGTCCTGCATTTATTTCCTGCCTTCCTGCCTTCCCCCCTCCTTTCCTCCCTCTGTTGCCCAAGCTGGAGTGCTGTCACAGCTCACTACAGCTCCACCTACTGGGCTCAAGCAATCTTTCTGCCTCAGCCTCCCAAGTAGCTGGGACTACAGGCGTGTATCACCATGCCCAGCTAAGTTTTGTATTTTTTTGTGGACACAGGATTTCACCATGTTGCCCAGGCTGGTCTCAAACTCCTTGGCTCAAGTGATCCTCCCCACTCAGCCTCCCAAAGTGCTGGGATTATAGGCATAAGCCACCGTGGATTTCTTATCTGGGGAGGCTGTAGGACCTGATGGTGAGGAAAAAGAAATGGTGTCTCACACCTTAATATGCAGTCACTGAAATTTCAGTAAGCCTTGGTTTCACCATGCAAGGACATCTGGGAAGCTCCTGCCCTCTTCCGGGCCCTGTTTTGCTGCTCTGCAGTTGTCTTCATTACAGATGGATATTTTATCAGCCCTGAGGACTGACATATTAGCATCTGTCTGTGCATTCATTCAACAAACAGACACAAATGTTCACCCAGTGCCAGGGGACTCTGGGGACCCAGAGATGGGTCAGATGAGTCCCCTGTCCTCCAGAAGCTCACAGTCTGCTGGGGGAGTCAGACACACAGACAGATGACAGCAGCACAGTGTGGCCAGTGTGGTTCAGAGGGACTCACAGGGAGCTGTGGAAACACAAAGAAAGGACCCTCCCCTTCCCCTGCTTGGGGAAGGCCTCCCAAAGGATAGCCCGAGCTAGGATGGGAGGAGGCGGAGGAGCACGGCAAGCTGAAGACCTGGAGGCTGGAGAGAGCACTGATGCGGAATAGCTGCCAGGCGTGAGTCTCAGCAGCTTAGGGAGAGGGAGGGATCTTATTGGATCTGCACCAGGCAGTTTTCTTTTTTGTTTGTTTTGTTTTGTTTTGTTTTGTTTGAGACAGGGTTTCACTCTTGCCTAGCTGGAGTGCAGTGGCATGATGGTGGTTCACTACAGCCCCAACCTCCTGGGCTCAAGCGATCCTCCTGTCTCAGTCTTGAGTAGCTGAGATTACAGGCATGAGCCACCACATGCAGCCAATCAAGCACTTTTCTTCATCTCATTTAATCCTTGTAACAGTTCTGAGATAGGTGCTGCTATGGGGAAGTGCTTTTCTTTTTTTACCAGTGAGGACACTGAGGCTCATATTGGTGAAAGAGCTTGCCCAGATCACATGGTTGGGGATTTATACCCAGAGGCCTAATCTCTAGAATGAAGGAGGTGAATACCCCTGCATCACTTAGGTACTAAACTTTAAGGCACTGACCTTAAAGAGGGTCACCCCTCTTTTTTTTTTTTTTTTTTTTTTTGATGGAGTCTCACACTATCGCCCAGCCTGGAGTGCAGTGGCGCGATCTCCACTTACTGCAAGCTCCGCCTCCCAGGTTCACGCCATTCTCCTGCCTCAGCCTCCTGAGTAGCTGAGACTATAGGCGCCTGCCACCACGCCCGGCTAATTTTTTGTATTTTTGGTAGAGACGGAGTGTTAACCAGGATGGTCTCTATCTCCTGACTTCGTGAACTACCCGCCTCAGCCTCCCAAAGTGCTGGGATTACAGAGGGTCACCCCTCTTTAAGAGGCCTAGAGCCCGGAAATAAATTCAGTGAGGAGGAGTTGACGGAACTGGGACCTCTTGGGGTGGAAACTCACCCTTTTTTTTGTTTGTTTGTTTGTTTTGAGATGGAGTCTTGCTCTGTTGCCCAGGCTGGAGTGCAGTGGCATGATCTTGGCTCACTGCAACCTCTGCCTTCCAGGTTGAGCAATTCTCCTGCCTTAGCCTCCCAAGTAGCTGAGACTACAGGCGTGCACCACCACACTTGGCTAATTTTTGCATTTTTAGTAGAGATGGAGTTTTGCCACGTTGGTCTCGAACTTCTGACCTTAAGTGATCCACCCACCTTGGCCTCCCAAAGTACTAGGATTATAGGTGTGAGCCACCGCTGCCGGCCGGGAACTCACCTTTTTCAAGTGACTCTTTTGTGCCAGTGCTGTGCTACATGCTTATGCATATTATTTCATTTAGCCTAGAGATGAGCAAGCTCAGAGGTCCAAGGTGGGCCCTTGAGATCTCTGCAGAGGTACCCTGGGGCAGAGGAAGCAGCCCAGAGAGCAGGGCTGGAATGGCGTTGGGAGTGGGCAAGGCTTTGATGGGAGTAGGTTTCAGCTCAATGTAAGTAAAGACCTCTCTGGCAAAGGATTTGGCCTATAGTAGGGCAAACTGCCTTGGGAAGTAGTGAGCTCCCTGTCAGCAGAAGTGTGTAAGCAGAGTACTTGTGGGGATGCTTTAGTAGGCAACCAGGCCACTTACAGGATGGGCTGTACTGTTATGTTCCCTTTCAGCCCCCATATCATCGTCTCCATTACCCAAACCTCACATGCCTTTCACAAACAAGGACGACTTTCTGGAGGAGGTAGAGAGGGGACATAGGTGGTTGGACACCAAGGAAGGGCACTGCCATCCAGTTGAAGGAAGCTCAAGGAAAAGCCCCATAGTAGACGGGATAGGGTGAGATTCTCCCAACCCACCTGTCATACATACCCCTTCTATTCCCCAGTATGGTGAGCTCCTCATGCTGGCTGCGGGCACGGGCCTGGCCCCCATGGTGCCCATCCTGCAGAGCATCACAGACAATGAGGATGACGAGACTTTTGTCACTCTAGTCGGTTGCTTCAAGACCTTTGAGAGCATCTACCTGAAAACCTTCCTCCAAGAGCAGGCCTGTTTCTGGAACGTCCGTACCTTCTTTGTACTCAGCCAGGTGAGCCCAGGGTGGTGACTTCCTTTTTTGATTGAGACTCTGCAGTCCCTTTGCACCTGTCCTGAGTACCAGCTCTAGCCTCTTTTGGCAATGGACGCTGTAGTCATAATCCCTGCCACTGGTGGAGCACCCACCTGTAAGGAAGGAAGGTGTTCTCATGTTCATTATACAGATGAGGAGATGCACATTCTAGGGGTGAAGCTGCCCACCAGCTCATGCTGCTGGACAGGGCTGAGGCCAGGATTTGAGCCCAGGGCTGTCTGGTTGCCGAGCTCTGGCTCTCACCCCATGCGTTGCTGCCTCCCATCGCCCTCTGGCATCATCAGTTACATGGGCAGGGGCCTGTCTGTAGAGGACATGGCAGGCTGCAGACCTCCCTCTGACTGAGTGATGTTCCTTGAGGCAGAGACCACATGTCTACCTCAGCCTCTTTCTTCAGTGCTTAGCATAATGCCAGGCCCAGAACAGGGACTCCATTAGTGACTGCTGGAGTAAACTGATCTGAGTTCCCTGTGCTTACTAGTATCCTTCCACCTCAGCCTGTCCCTCCATAGGAGGACCCCACCGTAGCTGGCAGCGACTCTCCCTGCTGAACCCTCCTCCCTCTGACTCCACATCCCCTCTGCTCACTCAGGTAACCCTTCTGGGGCCACCCCCATAGGTTAGAGCACGGGGGTTTATCTGCCCCTCATCTCAAGCCAGGCCCTCAGCTACTTTTGCTGGCCTGCCTTTCCCTGGTTGGTAGCTTCACTTTTCCCTCCTGTCCCCCGTGGGTTGGATTCCTGCTGGGCCCCCTGTGTTCCCTGGTGCTCAGGGTCAGCCTTCTTGCCTGGTGCTGTGGAGCACCCTTCTCATCTGGTCCCACTATGAGGCAGCTTTATGTGGTCCCTAAACACTTATTTGATCCTCAACATTGTGGCTGGGTGTGGAGGGTGAGGAAATTGGATTTCCCATCCCAATATAAGGGTCCCTGGGCTCCCCAGGGTCTGGGTTCCGCAGGCCTGTCCATGGGGCAGAATGCTCAGTGGCATGACATTGGGAGCATGGTGAACATTTATAGCAGCAGAAAGTGCCTAAGGAAGGAGAATGGAGCCAAAGGCTAGCGTGCAGCCCAAGGGGTGGGTGCAAGGGATGGGCCACTGTTGCCCAGCAGCACAGACAGCCTGCCTGAGAGCCTGGACAAGGACACTGGGAGGAGGGCAGGAAGGCAGCACCTGGCAGAGGGTCCGCAAGCTGCTGGCCAGCTTTGCTTTCCCTCCTCTATCACCTGAGCATGTGGCAGGTGTCAGAGACACAATAGTGAAGGTGACCAACTCCCAGCCCTCTGGCTGCTCACCTATCTGTGGGTGACAGCCACAGAGGCGGCCGAAAAGGTCTCCCCTTCATTCAGCACATTCTCTGTAGCCAGCACCATTCTAAGCACTTTATTTACTCATTTAATCTCCACTACAATCTTATGAGGCTTATACTCCCATCTTGCTCCTTGTACAGATGTGAAACCACAGAATGGTTAAGAACCTTGCCCAGGGTAACATAGCTGGTTAGTGGAGAGTGGAGTATGAACCCAGGAGGTCCTGCTCAAAGGCTGTGGTCTTAGTGCTCCTCGGAATAAGGCAGCACAGCACAAGGTGCTGTGAAGATGTTCAGGATGCCAGCGGTGGGCAGAGAGGCCAGGCAGGGTCAGGGAGGGCTTTACCAAGCAAGTGGCTGTTCAATTAAAGTTCGCCAGCAATAGAAGATTTTTAGCCCCCAGCTGGGCCAGGGTGGTGCCAGTGGCCTGGAGTTGGGCAAGCAAGTGGGTTGGCCATTAGTGGCAGGTGAAAGGAGTGACTTGTGGCTCCTGCCTGTCCACACTCCCTTGACTCAGTGTGCGCCCTCACCTGCCTGGGCCACAGCTGCAGTATCCTCAAGAGTCTCCCCGTACCAGCCGCTCCCTGCTGATTTGTCCTGCGTCCTGCAGTCCTAAGGGCAGATCTGACCACACCACCACCCTGTTTCCAGCGCTTCCCTGGCTCCCTACTGCTCACAGGATAAGGTCCACACCTGAGAACTGCCTCCCTCTGCGGCCTCATCTCCCAGCCCGCCCTCCCTGTAAGCTGTGGCCTGATGTCACTGGTCTGCCCATGGTTGCAAGTGTGCTGTGCTTTTCTGGCTTCTGGGCCTTTGCTCACGCCGTTCTGCCTGCCAGGAGTGCTCCCCCTTCCTCACCTCCCACCTGTGTACCCCTCACATCCCTGTTGAGGTAGAAGTCCATCCTGGAAGCTTTCCTAGAGCCCCCAGGCTGGTCTTGGTGGTTCTGCTGCCACCACCCCGGCTCTCCTTCACAGCACCCACCTGCTGCACCGTCACTGTTTGTGGGGTCCCCTGCCCATCTCACCAGCAGCCAGGCCCAGGGCATCTCAGGGTGCATGGTGGGATAGGCTGAGCTGAACCTAAGTAGTCTGAGGGAAATGAGCAGTGGAAAAGGGGAGGTGAGGCCAGTGGGCCCCAAGGTCCCATCTGGTGGGTCAGACTGTAGCGGGAGCATGGGAAATGCCAGATCATCAGAGAGGATTGCCTCATCAGCACAGACTCTGTGAGGTGGGACTCCAGGGCACCCTGTTTGTTTTGTTTTGAGACAGGGTCTCACTCTGTTGCCCATGCTGGAGTACAGTAGTGCAATCATAACCCACTGAAGTCTCAACCTCCCTGGGCTTAAATGATCCTCCTACCTCAGCCTCCCAAGCAACTGGGACTACAGGCGCATAGCACTTCCCCTAGCTAATTTTCGTATTTTTTTGTAGACCAGCTTTTGTCACATTGCCCAGGCTGGTCTTGAACTCCTGGACTCAAGCGATCCTGCCACCTCAGCCTCCCAAAGTGCTGGGATTACAGGCTTGAGCCACTGTACCTGCCTCCACGGCCCTTTGAGTGGGCCTCAGAATAGAGGCCTCTCTTCACAGGGCCTCTGCCAGGGCTTGCACCAGCACCACGGCTCTCTGGACAGTGACTTTCCATAGCGGATACTCTCCTCACAATCACAATCCTGAGAGGTCAGTCACTCAGCCAGGAAAGTGGCAGTGGAGCTCCACTCGCCACCAATCCTGTCTTTGTGCCTAGCCCTAGGAACTAGCAGCTTGCCCTCATAGGATCTGCAGAGTGATGGCTCTGTTCTGGATTTTGTTTTTTGTGGGCTGGTAAGATGGTTTTTTCATTTAAATTCTTCAGACTATATATAGTTGTCCCTTGGTATTCATGGGGGATTGACTCCAGGACCCCCTGCAGATACCAAAATCTGAGGATGCTCAAGTCCTTGATATAAAATGGTGTGGTATTTGCATATAACCTACACACATCCTCCCATGTGCCTTAAATCATCTCTGAATTATAATACCTAATACAATGTAAATATTGAGTAAATAGCTCTTACTGTATTTCTTTTTGTGTTTCTATTGCTATATTGTTATTTTTAAATGTTTTTTAAAAAATATTTTCAATCTACAGTTGGTTGAATCCATAAGTGTGGAACCCATGGATACAGAGGGCTAACTGTATACTTAATGATTTGTATACTTTTCTACACATATGTTGTACTCCAATAAAATGTTCATTTAAAAAAATAGAAGAAATTCCTTCAAGTCACCTGGGAGTAGAACTTTCATTTTGTGACCCTGAGGAGGAAAGCTTCAGCTAAGGCTAGAAAGGCAGAGAGTAGGGTCCTGGGTGCCTGGGGTCACCATCCAGCCTTGGAATGCGAGCTTAGCCTTTCTCGATGAAGGCATTGTGACCTGGGATCTGTGTTGTATGCAGCCAGGAACCTTGTCTCTTTTGAGCAGCTGCCATATCCCCAGTGGCTAGCTCGGTGCCTGGCACAGAGTAAGCACTTGGTAAATATCTGCTAAATGAACATGTTCATTGAAACCTTAAAAGAAATGAGCAAAAGTTATGCTCCAAGGGTGATGATGATAGCTGACCTTGGAAAGATTCTGGGAAACCCACAGTCGGGGGAGAAAACATTCCTCCCACAGTGACAGGTGTGGCTGCTGGAAGGCAGCGAGAAATGGTGGGACTTGAGTTCTGGTCCTGCTGCTGCCCCCACCTCATCATGTGCCACGGGGAAGTCCCTCTTCCCTGTGCCTCTCCTGTCATGGGAAGGTGATAGTTTCCACAGGCTTGTTTTGGGGATGAGGAGGAAGTGCCTGGCCCACGGTGGGGCTGGATATAGGCTGGCTTCCTACAGCCTCGGTTTCTTTATTTTGCAGAGAAGAGCTGGCTCTGTGAACACTAAGGACCCCCCGCTCCCTTGTAGTAACCCATGCCTTTCTTGTCTTCCCAGGAGAGCTCCTCAGAGCAGCTTCCCTGGAGTTACCAAGAGAAGACCCGCTTTGGCCGCCTGGGCCAGGACCTAATTAAAGAGCTGGTCAGCTGCTGTCGGAGAAAGCCATTCGCACTTGTCTGTGGCTCGGCTGAGTTCAACAAGGACATAGCCAGGTGCTTACTGTGCGCAGGCCTCACTGAGGACTCCTATTTCCTCTTCTAGCCCTGGCCTCCCTTCCAAAGCCTAGGCCGTGGGCCTGCTACTGGGACCCAGGAAGGAGCACAGACTGGAATCAGAAGACATGGAGTCCAGGCCTGGTCCTGCTGCTCATTTGCCAGGTGACCTTGGGCAAGTGTCTTTACTGCTCAGAACCTCTACTTCTCATCTGCCCCATGAGGTTAATCACTCCTCTGGCCTCCTACTATGTGGAAGGAGGACAGGCTGTAGGGACCCTGAGGAAGCGAGCAACCAGCCTGGGAGTCAGGGAAGACTCCTCAGAGGAAGCCAAGTCCAGGCTGAGCCCCAGGAGGAGTAGGAATTGGGCAGGGGAAGATTCAGGAGGAGCTTCCCTGGCCTCTCCGATTAGAGGATCTAATGGGGGCTCCAGCTGTGGCCTCAGCACCGTCTCAGATTAGGGCTTCCCGAATGTGTAGGGAAGGACCCAGGAGACGCTAAAAGCTCTTTGGAGGAGAATTCTACCTTTCCTCCTGTGCCATGAGCCTGACACATGAAGGTCTTGGGTTCTATGACTTCACCATGTCCTGAGAGCAAGGTGGGGCCCTGGACTGTCTTTGTATTGGCCCCAAGCCTTTCCTGCTGTGAACAGCTTCATTCTCAGTCCCCTTTCCTGGCTCAAGAATCGAGCCTAGCAAAAGAAGAGGCACGGGAAGGAAATGCCCCTCCCTCCTTCTGCAGGCAGCCGCTCAGCCTGTGCCTTCAGCTCGGTGCCCTGGTGACAGTTGCTATGGAGATCTAAAGATAGAGCAGGAGTCAGGAGACCTGGGTCCCTCTCCCAGCTTGTCCCACTGAGCGGCTGCCAATCCCGGTCCACCCACCCCAGGAACCCAGTGCCCCTGGGCAGTGCACTGCAGTTAATGAATTCTGCTTTCCACAGCCTGGGCTCCAGCATGCTGCACCAGCTTGGGCTAACTACAGGCAGTCCCAGAATTGGAATACTAAGCCATGGAATCTTGGAGTTAGATGTTTATAGTCATAGAAGTGTACTCCTCACCATATCAAAGCTGAAAGTTCAGGACTCTAAGAAACATACAGTGTGACAGACTTATCGTATACACAGGAAACTGAAGCCCAATGAGACTAAATGACTTGCCCAGGGTAAAACAGTCCATGGCAGAGCCAGCGCTAGAAGCCTCCTAGCTTCAACCTCATGTGCCAGTTCGGCACCAGTGGTTTTCAAACTGCGCTCCACAGGAAACAAGCGTTCTTTGCATAGCAGCAGTGAAAGGACAGCTCCAGATGGATCCCCAGACCCCCCTTCAACCAGAGCAGTTCCGTTTTCATCCCATTTGTATATTGGGGTTTCGAAGTATTTGTAGAAAAGGATTTTCCTATCCTGCTCAGAAAAATGGCAACAAATCTCTCTGCTGTGTCACATTTAATAAATAATTGTGACACACAGCTGGGGGATGGTGCCAGAGGTTTCAAACTGCTTCACAGGCAGAGTTCCAGGGTCAGAGAGCATGGAGTGCTGTGTGTGACCTTCTCCCAGAAGCGTGGGCACAGGAGCGTGTTAAAGGCCTGAAAAGACCAGTGGCAAAGAAACTCCTTTCATTTTGTCTAACCCAGAGTTTCTCAAGCTTATTTAACTTTAGAACACTTTTCTATGGGTTTCGTAGCCTCTTTCTAGCACAGCATAATGAGTGGGAAAGGCCCTGACTGAGAGTCAAAGATTCTGAGCAGGAACCGTGATCTCTTCCTGCCTAGCCTGTGACTTGAGCAAGACACTTTTCCTCTCCCCAGACCTCTGAGGTCTGCGATTTTCCCTCCACCCTTTCCTCTCCCTCAGTTTGCACGTCCTATTGACTCAGCTGCAAATAGCGGGGGCCTGGCAGGAGCCTGACTCTGTTCAGACACCAGGGAAACAACAGCACACCAGGCAGATGCAGTTATGTCCAGTGCGGAACTTACAGCCTAGCAAGGAAGGCAGAAATTCAACCTGTAATTCTAAAAGGGATAGATGTCATGGAAAGGGAAGTGTGGAGTGCTGGGAGAGTGGATGACAGGGGCTTTAGCCCAGTCTAGGGAAAGGCCAGGGGCACACCACTGCCACCAGGGATAGAGGCTTCAAAAGCTTCCAAGTCACTCATATTGAGAGTGTTGCCGGGCATGGTGGCTCACACCTGTAATCACAGCACTTTGGGAGGCTGTGGCAGGCGGATTGTCTGAGCCCAGAAGTTCGAGGCCACCCTGGCCAACATGACAAAACCCTGTCTCTACTACAAAAAAAAAAAAAAAAAAAAGATTAGCCCCGTGTGGTGGTATGCGCCTATAGTCCCAGCTACTTTGGAGGCTGAGGTGGGAGTATTGCTTGAGCCAAGGAGGTCAAGGCTGCAATGACTGTGATTGAGCCACTGCACTCCAGTCTGTGTGACAAAGCAAGACCCTGTGTCAAAATAATAATAATAATAATAAAATCAAAAAGAGTGTTAAGGGGGTCTCCACTTAAGGAGTAGAGAGTTCGAGGCAGTTCTCTTATCTCTGTCCTTGTCTGGTTTTAGATGTATGATGTTTAGATACTGGACAAGGCCGCCCAGTGGTAACCAACCTAGAATATGTTGGCCTCCTCTTCCCCTCACTCCATGTAGGTTCTGTACAGCCTGGCTGCTGGTGGGATCTCTTATCATGTGACATTGGTGAGGACCCAGCCATGCCCTTGGTGCCAAGAAGCCTAAAGGGCTCCTGTCACCTGGAAACCTGAGGGTATGGGGCCGGGTGCTGTGCCCCACAGGGTGCTGAGCAAGCCCAAGAAGGAGAGTGTGGGGTGTGGTGTGTGAATTCAGACCTTTTGGAGCTGGGGGCGATTCCCGTCAGCTGCTGTTCCTTTGATGATGCCTACTGCGTGTTGTGGGAGGCGTGACCACCGTGTGATGTTGCAGTGAGAGAAGGGAGGTTTAGGAGCTAAACATGATACACAGACATCAGGAGGTCAACCAGGTGCCCGCAATCTATGAGCCAGACACAGCTCTCTTTGTGCATGCATCCCAAGCTTCAGGAAGGCAACAGCTACTAGAGGGCCTGGGGACAGATTCTTGTTAGCAGAAGTGGCGATGACTTTAGCTCAACCCTCACCATGTTTACCGGCGTCACTTCTGCGTTCCCCTCATGGGGCTCCCAGCTCCCAGTCTGCATGCCACCTCCATGCCGAGACCAGACCAGTTTTCCCTACACACAAATCTGGGCCTGTCACTCCCCTGCTTGAAATCCTTCCCTATCTCCCTGTGGCCTTGAGATACGGCCTCTCTGCTCTGCCACCTCTCCAGACTTTTTCTATGCCGCCGCCCGCTCACACACACCTCTCAGGCTCCAAACATGTTCTCTTGCGTCAGCCCATCCCTTACACTAGCTGCTTCCTCTGCCTCACCAGCCTCCCACCTTCCCATCTCCCACTCACCTTTTTTGCCTCCTCATCTTCTGAGGTCTCAGCTCAGTGCCACTTCCTCTGGGGAGCCTCGCCTGTGTCTTCCACTCCAGCTTGGTCAGTGAGCACAGGGGCTTGTGTGCTTTTCTGTCGCTGCACCCATCAGTCTCATCTGCATGTGAGCATGAGGGCCAGCCCATTGCACCCCTGACAGGAGAGGATGCTCAGCACTTCCTGAATGGCAAATACCTGAGCGATAAACAACTCATGTTCAGGAAGTGCTTTCCAGGTGGCAAAATGTGTTTCCTCTACTTTGAAGCACAGAATCTTCATCAATATGCATGCTATTTTATTACCCCAATTTACTGATGAGGAAACTAAGCTTCTGAGACTTCAAGCAATTTTCCAAGGTCATGTAGGGGTACCCAAGTTCCAGCATGTTGTGATTGTTGTAAAGGTTATGTGTGACACATGAGTGCACCCAGAAATGTGTATAAAGATTGTTATTGATGGCCAGGCACGGTGGCTCACGCCTGTAATCCCAACACTTTGGGAGGCCGAGGTGGGCGGATCACCTGAGGTCAGGAGTTCTAAACCAGCCTGGCCACTGTGGTGAAACCCCATCTCTACTACAAATACAAAACTTAGCTGCGTGTGGTGGCACACACCTGTAATCCCAGCTACTCGGGAGGTGAGGCAGGAGAATCGCTTAAACCCAGGAGGCGAGGTTGAAGTGAGCCCAGATCGCACCACTGCACTCCAGCCTGGGCGACAGAGTGAAACTCACAAGAAAAGGTTTTTATTGCTGCATTCTCTGAAATAGCAAAGAATAAAAAAAACTGCCTGTAGATACAGCAATTAAAGTGAACTCCATCCACATGTACCAATATAGACGAAGTCCTAAAAATATAATAACTGAGTGAAATGTACATTATGAAAGGATAGCTACAGGGAGATACCTGTACTTGGAAACTGTAAAAACCCAAAATAATGCTAAATGCTCATGAAGAGACAGAGACACACCAGCTTCAAGGATATTGGTGGCCTGTGGTGATAGGTAGAAGGGAGTGAGATGGAGTGATGGGGCTTTTAGCCGTATCTGTATTTGTATTTTACTGTAAAAATACTTGACATAAACATGACAAAATATGAACACCTGGTAAATCTGGGCAATGAGTTCCCCAATGTCTGCTATATTATTTTCTGTCTTTTTCTGTTTTTCAAATAGTTCCATAATTAAAGATTTTTTAAAAAGTCAAATGTGCTTGTTCAATGCTCTCTAGAAACTAGGGACTTAGAAACATTCACTTTCTCCTACTTCGGAATAGACTATGCCCCTTTATCCCCCCAGACATTTTAGCCATTCACTGAAGATCATTTCTGAGCACCAACTGTGTTCCAGGCCCCGTTCTAGGTGCGGGAGACACAGCAGTAAATCGTATAAATCATTCGCGGTCTTCATAGCTGATGGGCTGTTCCCTCTACTTTTCCCTCTTTCTCATAAACTCAAACCAGAATGACTTGCCAAGCACCACACTGTTGGCCTATTTTTTTCTTTCTTTTTTTGTTGTTTTGTTTCCCTTTGTCAATGAGGCAGACCTAGGTTTGAGTCTCTTACTGATCC